AGTTATTCCCCATGATGAGACTGGCAATCAACGCCATGGTGGGATCTACCACCACAAGCAGCTGGGTAGCTGCCTTTGGGATGTAGTCTGCATCCTATGTATAAGGAGAAGCTTTGGGAATGGTCTTTAACCTATGGCATGCTTGAACCTGCATGTAGCCGTGTCATTGTTCAGCAGCCTGCCATGCTCTGCTGACCTTGGGACTTAAAATAGACTTGAATTAATGGCCTGTCATGTGGTTTGGTAACATCGGGACTATGCCTTTTTACTTGTCAACCTTGGGCTTGGCAGCCTTAGCAGCCAGCAGCTGTCTGAGTGAAGAAAAACCTCTAGCTCCAGTGGGCCAGGAGCAGGAGGCAGAGCTGGACCCCAAAGTTGAGGAGCTTTCACCCAGCACCTAGGGCCTAGCACTTTTAACTTGGACTTAAGGTCTCCAAACTGTGAGAGAATAAACTCCTATTGTTAAGGCCATCCCATTTGTGGTATATTTCTGTCAGAGCGGCACTAGGTAACCAGAACAGGGTCCGACTTAAGTCTGGGGACTGCAAAGCCAAAGCAGATGGAGGAAACAAGAGGAGTGGCCCAGGACACAAAAGGGAGTGGTGGGGCCTGAGGAAAAGAGACGAGGGAGAACGCAGCTGTGGCTTAGCCTGGGCCTTGGGCATAGAGTCCCTCCATAACCTCCTCTTTGGATTTTTCAGAATTTGGTGTAAATCTGAATTACTGTAAGATCTTCCAGTTTTAAACTCTTTGTTCAAAATTGAAATGAAATACCGGGCAGAAGAAGCAAAGCTCGTCTGTAGGCTGACTAATGTTTTGAGAGTGAAAGAGGTCCAGGCCACGGCTCCTCTCTGCCAAGTTCTGGAAATGGTTCCCAGGGCTGAGGAGTTTCCCTGCAAAATGCTGATTTCCGGCCAGGTGGGGACTCCATTTGCGGCCCTACCACAGAGCCCATACAATTGCTCTGGTACATTTGGCTTTGATATAATTGCCTTGGAACCTGGCTAATTAGCACCCAGGTCCATGGCTAAGAATGCCTGCTGTAAAGTATTGCCTGGTGGGTGATAAAGTCTTCCCTCGAAATTTTCCAGTCTCCGTGCTGTGACTGCTAATTCAGTTCCTCTTCTGGAAGGATGGGAGATGATGGGATTACTGGAAGGATGGGAGATGATGGGATTGGCTGCAGGACTTGGTGCAGTCCGCTCGCTCCCCGACATTCCTACCTACTTCCAGGAGATCAATGCCCACACATTTTCATTAGCAGCTAAAAAGGTCACCTTGGATTTTAAATTGTTTGTCCCAGGGAACTGAATTAGTTCACTGGCAAAGGCAGTTAAAAAAAAAAAAAATCGCTGTCAAGTCAATTCCAATTCATAATGAACTTACAGGACAGAGCAGAACTGCCCCATAGGGTTTCCAAGGCTGTCATCTTTACAGAAGCAGACCACTACAGTTTTCTCCTGTGGAGTGGCTACTAAATTCAAAGCACCAAATGTTTAGATAGTAGCCGGACCCTTAACACTGTGCAAAGGCCAGAGGGGGGAAAGAAGAATGGTCCCAGGCAATGTAAGCACATGATTCAGCAGAAATAAATAGCAATGGATTCGGTAAGCCTGTTGGTTTGCAGGAAGGTACCCAGCACTGCACTGTTCCAGGCACACGACCGAGTGCTTTGTTTGACATGCGTGGCCTCCCCTGAGCTATGACGTGAGTGTTCCTGTTACTACCAATGTTTGTTAAGTGCATCATGGGAAACCAGGACTATGATTACAGATTATGAAACTGAGACTCGTCAGATTCCAGCACCTGTCACGCCCATTCTGACTCATGGCAACCCCACTGGTGGAGGGTAGAACAGCTCCATGGAGTTTTCATGGCTGTAATCCTAAGGCATCTGACTGCTAACCAGAAGGCTGGCAGTTCAAACCCACCAGCAACTCCTTGGAGGAAAGTTTGGGTGATCTACTTCCATCGTGATACCGCCTCGGAAACCCAAGGAGGGGTCACTGTGAGTCAAATCGACTTGACGGCAGTGAGTTTGGTTTTTTTGGAATCTTTAGGGAATCAGATCACCAAGACTCTGTTCTGCGGACTGCTGGTTGGATCGGAACCACCAACCTTTAGGTTAGCAGTCAAGCACAAACCTCTGGGCCACCCAGGATCTCTGCATGTAGGCTCTCCTTGATCTGGCTCTGCCTACCCCTCCCTGCCTGGGACTCTATGCTCTAGAGACGCTGAAAAGCACGTCTGGTCATCGTGCAGTCCCATCAGATGGCCTCTGGCCAGTGGCCTTTGCTTGATGAGCCCTGTGCCTGGGGTGTCCTCCTCTGTGCCTTCTCCCATCTGCAGTGCTTACACTTACTGACAATGTATGGTTCTAGTCCAAGGTCAAGACACCTTACCTGACCCCTAACCTGAGCTAGGTGAGGACGCCTCCCCTGTGCTCCCATAGTGCCACGGGCATTCATCTTTCACTGTATTTATCTTAGTCAATGTCGTTCTTTGCCCAGGCTTCACTTCCATCCCACGTGCTCATGTACCGTACATGGTGCACGGAAATACCACTTGAATGAAACCTGTAACTTATCACTGAAGCCCAGTTTCCATCATTGTTAGGTGGGGGCGGAGAGAGAAAAAATAAGCAAATCAGATTAGATTTGATAATGTGTCCCAATGTTCATGTCAGATGGGTGACTGGCCAATCCTATGCTGAGCTGGACACACTCTGTAGATACCCATACTTACCCACAGAGGGCAGCACCAGCACATTAACGAGAAGCACGATCATGGCTCCAGGGCAGAGATGGGCCCCAGGGATCACCGGAACAGCGTCCTGGGGGAAAATTGGGTAGCTAGGATGAGATGCTTGGTGAGTCTGTGAGCTAAGAACCCCCAGGGGGAGCCATTTGCCCCACAGCACAGTGTGGTAAAAGGAAGAGTTTCCATCCCGGCTTTGCCACTACCTACCAGTTACCAGCGGCTCTTGAGTGACTCAAACTCGTGGTGTCCCCATGTGTCAGAGTAGAATTGGGCTCCATGGGGTTCTCAGTGGTGGGTTTTTCAGAAGCAGATCACCAGGCCTTTCTTCCAAGGCGCTTCTGGGTGGACTTGAGCCTGCAGCCTTTCAGTTAGCAGCTGAGCATGTTAACTATTTGCATCACATTCCCACTTCGAGGCTCAATTTATCCAAATGTAAAATGGACTCTTAGCAGAGAGTCATTGAGGACACAGCTCTGGTCTTGTGTATTTATCCCTTCATTCCGTGGTCATTTATGGCTGGCCTAACGGATGACAAACCTGTCCTGGACGAAGCGCAGCCCAAATGCTCCCTGGAAGCAAGAATGATCATACTTTGTCTCATCTACTTTGGTCATGTTGTCAGAAGGGACCATTCCCTGGAGAAGGATATCATGCTTGGTAAGATAGGGGCAGTGAGTGAAAAAGGGGAGGACCCTCAAAGAGATGGATTGACACAGTGGCTGCAACGACAGGCTCAAGTTCAGCAAATATTGTGAGGACGGTGCAGGACCAGCCAGTGTTTCGTCCTATGAGTTGGAGTCACTATGAGTTGGAGCTGACTCAATGGAACCTAAAGCAACAGTGGGCGCCAGGCACACTGAGGGGTCCAGGAACGCAAGGGGAGTAAAACCCATCCCTTGCCTATAAGGTGTTCACAGACTAATGGGGAAGGGAGACGGTTCAGTGACCCATACATTACTGTACACCAGCATTCCAAATACACCTTTAGCAGTCTGACTTTGAACCTTTGTGCAGACATCTCTAGAGCACACTTGACAATTGCACAGTGGCACTGCCTGCTGACCAGCAATGCCTTTCCTGTCGCATCCCCCCTTTCCTCTCCACCTCGGCGTTTGACCAATTTGAATCCTTTGCTGTGGTCCTAGAGGTTCCCTAGATATGCCTCCAGGACTGTGACGGGGGAATAGGCAAGGTGGGAATTGCCCGGGGCCTTCAATCACCACTGTTCTGTGCTTAGTCAGCAAATTCTTAACTTCGATGGGCGCTTGCTGAGCTCAAGCCGGCAGCCATGTCGAGGCACAGCTCGCTGGATGGCACTTCACGGATACTGTGTTCACAGATTGAACATTGTGGCAACGCTGACGGAGCAGCTCTATTGGTGTCACCTCCCCACAGGGTGCTCATTTCGTGTCTCTGCGCCACATTCTGGTCATTTTCACAATATTTCAAACATTTTTGTCATGCTGTCACACACTTGATAGACTACGGTATGATATCAACATAACCTTTAGGAAACCAAAAGAGTGTGTGACTCGCTTGATCGCAATATTTGCTTTACTGAGATGGTCTGGAACCAAACCCACAATCTCTCCAACCTCTGCCTGTATTTAATACAGAAGAAAACATTAAACTAGAGGGATGTTTAAGGAACCCTGGTGCTGCGATCATTCAGCACCCTGCTGTGAAACCAAAGCTTGGTGGTTCGAATCCACCCAGTGGCTCCTTGGCAGAAAGCCTTAATGCTCTGGCCCCATGAAGATTGCAGCCTGGGAAAAACCCTGTAGGGGGGTTCTGCTCTGTCACAGGCAGCTGCACTGAATCGAAATCAATACCTAACAAACAGAGGGATATTTCTATAATCTGCACTCCCTGGGACTATAAATCCCCAAAAAATGTCAGCTGCTGGGTCGACTCGCACGTATCCTGCTCTAGACACATTTTCAGGCCAGGGTAGGAATCCAAGCAGAGGATTGTGAGTACGAAGCACACAGGGTGTGTCCTGACACTCCAGCAGTGCACACAGGGCTGCTGCATGGGGTTGTTCAGGTTGTGCACTGCACAAGGTGCTTAGCTGAAGGGCAATCAGGCCCGTGCTCAACTCCCAAGCTGGTCCCACAGGGCTGCATCCGTCTGGAGAAGGGAGCCCTTTCTGCGAGTTGTTCTTGCAGAGGCAAAGGCTGCTGGGGTCCTGGTGGCCTTGCATGTGTACACAGTGGGTCACACAGGATGGGGGACAGCATCCCACAGGCTGTGGGGTCTTTACTCTATGGACCTCCTTACTGCCTCTGGTGGCTCTAAGATGAATTTTGAATGAAGGACAGAAGGTCTGTGTGTGTGCTTGGAAATCCTAGCTAGGTCAAGTGTTCTGTGGGGGCTGGCCGGGTCCCCAGGGTATGATCTCCCGCCAATAACGTATTGGACCATAAGCACAGGCTGCTTTTCGGTGTCATAGGCTCTCACTGCTTAACCCTGTGGCATTTCAGATTGGATGATTCCTTCTCAGGCCGTGAAACCAGACTTAAAGTGAAAGACAACGCTGGCCTGACTCCAGATGGAAGGTGGTTTGCACCGGACCCAGCGCTGGTGAGCCCCTGTGGGTCTAGACCCTGTCGACACCACACGCCCACAACTGGGGTCACCTTTCCCTGGAAAATTTAGTCACTACCAGGCACACACTATGTCATGGTTTTCATTGTTACCATCACAAAACAAGAGAATGCCAGGAGGTCTGAGCTTGGAAGGGACATAGGAGTCACCTAGTACAAAGTCCCCCCTTTACAGAGGAGATCATCGAGGCCCGGAGACGGGCAGTTTACATAAGTGTGTACCGGGTCCGGGTCTGCTGACCATCAGTGCAGTGCTCTTTACCTACAGTACGTGCCTAGATGGTGGCGGTGGGACGAACACATCAATCCCTATGACACACTTCCGGCAGGCCTGGCCTATGGAAAGTGCCCAATGGACAGTATTCCAGCCCCAGCGTCTGGCTTAGAAGAGCAAGGAGCAGTAGTGATGAGGATTAAGGCCCCCATGCTGTTTGCCGATCCCCTGCGTGGTGACGAGCAGCGGGGCTCAGCTCAGGTCACTGAATCCTTGGTCTCCTCCTCTCGGGGCACTTACAGCTACAGCACATTTCCGTGGGTTTTCTGGAAGCTCCCATGAGGCAGGCTGGGGGTGATGGGCAGCTCTTAGCTCCTGGGATGGGTTTGTTGGAATGCAAAGTGTGACAGTGACCACATCACAGACACAACCTTGAATCTGCTCTCAGTTATTCATTCACTTTTATTATTCATTTAATTGTTGTAGTGAAAGAGACAGAACAAAGGAATGCCGTTCAACCATTTTTAGGTGTACAGTAAGGAGCTCTGGTGGTGCAGTGGTTAATACATTTGGCTACTAACCAAAAGGCCGATGGTTTGAACCCACCAGGTGCTCTGCGGGAGAAAGATGAGGCAGTCTGCTTCTGTAAAGACTGCAGTCTCAGAAAAAACGCTGTGGAACACTTCTACTCTGTCCTACAGGGTCACTATGGGTTGGGATTGACTTGATGGCTATGGGTTTTGGGTTTTTTAAGTGTACAAATCAGTGACATAAACCCAATTACCTTGCTGAGCAACCACCACCACTATTTCCAAAAGTGTCTTCATTCGAAGCCGAAACTCGGCACCTTCTCAGCAAGACTTCCCTCTCCCCTGCCCCTGGCCCTTGTTCACCACTAAAACCAAACAAAAAACCCCATACTCACTGCCATCAAGTCTATTCCAACTCATAGAGATCCCCATTGGGCTTCTGAGGCAGTAAAAGTTCATGGAAACAGACTGTCCAGTCTGCCTTCCAAGGAGTGGCTGGCAGGTTTGAACCACCAACCTTCTGGTTAGCAGTCAAATGCCTTAGGCTCTACGCCACCAGAGCTCCTCTATGTTCTATTTTTGTTATTATTATTATTTTTCTCCACCACTAAGTTCCACTTTAATCTCAGATAGTAAGTTAAGCACTTGAGGCCTTATTCTTTTGAAGGCTGTCTGTCATTGGCTGGGTCCCTCTTTGGACTGGGTGATCCACCAGCCATTCTCCATGTACCTGCTCAGAACAATGCTCAAGGACTTTGACTGTGAGGAGCCTCGCTCCCCAGGCGAGGAGCTGAGGATCACAGAGGTTCAGTGACTTGCCACAGCCACTGTCACCCTAAGATACCACTTGTTGTGCCACGGCAACTTCCAGTGCAGAATCAAACTGAGGTCACTCTTTATCAGGGCATAGTGAGGTTGAAATGGGACAAGGCTTGTAAAGGCAGACATTATACCTACTGACCCACACTCTGTGTTCAGTAAGGACATCCTGTAATTCATGATTGCCACAGGCAAACCTCAGCAATACTGCAAGTTTGGTTCCATACCACCGCAATAAAATGAATGTCACAATAAAGTGAGTCACACGCCATTTTGATTTCCCAGTGCATATACGAGTTATGTTTTTACTGTACCTTAGTTTGTTAGAAGGAGCTCTGGTGGCATAGTGGTTAATGCATTTGGCTGCTAACCCAAAGGTCAGCAGTTCAAACCCACCAGCTGGCTCTGTGGGAGAAAGATGAGGCAGTCCGCTTCTGGAAAGATTTACAGCCTTGGAAACCCTATGGGGCAGTTCTATTCTGTCCTTTGTGAGTCAAAATCGACTTGATGGCAGTGGGTTTGCTAGTCTATTAAGTGTGCTAATCTATTAAGCATAATGAAAAAGTTTGAAATACTGTGAGAATGACCCAAATGTGCCACAGAGACATGAAACAAGCACAGGCTGTTGGAAAAATGATGCCAACAGATCTGCTTGATGCAGGGTTGCCACAAACCTTTGATTAAAAAACCAGGACAGAATCTGTGAAGCAGAGCAAGGTGCGATGAAGGGGGATGCCTGCATTCCCATGCAGGAGCCCTGGGTGGCGCAACCAGGTAGTGCGCTCGGCTGCCGGCCGAAAGACTGGAGGTTTGAGTCCACCCGGAGGCACCTCGAAGGAAAGGCTTAGAGATCTACTTCCGAATAAGCAGCCGCTGAAAATCGGGCACCGCTCAGTTCTGCTCCCTGACACGTGGGGTCGCCACGACTCAGAGTTGACTCCAGGGCAACTGGCCCTAGTACTGGTGTCTCTAGACCAGCTGCCCTGAGGAAAGGAGCTCTGGTGGTGCTGTGGTCAGGTGTTCGGCTGCCAACCAAAAGGTCGGCAGTTCAAACCCACCAGCTGCTCTGCGGGAGAAAGATGAGGCAGTCTGCTTCTGGAAAGATTTACGGCCTTGGAAACCCTATGGGGCAGTCCTACTCTGTCCTCTAGAGGCGCTGTGATTTGGAATCGACTTTGTGGTAGTGGTTGCCCTGAGGAGAGTCATTGGACCACACAGGTTTGTAGACCCTCATTGATGTGGCAGCGTCCTTTCTCTAAATAACTGCACCAGGTGCTGTCAATGTGGCTTTGCACCAACTCTTAAAAGGTTCAGAATGCCTTTGGGTCTCCATATCCCGGGGTAGCATCGAGGGCTCAGACCCCCAGGAGAGCATCCTCTCTCTCTGCCCCCTCCTTTCCTCCCTCCCTCCTTATTTCCTCCCTCCCTTCCTGCCTCCCTCATTCCCTCTCCTCCTCTTTGCCCCCCACACCACCAGGAGAACGGAATTCCTACCTGAAGGTCCCAGTTGAATGCAGTTGGATGATGATGCTTGGCTTTGAACAAGATGGGGGCTGAGTCCTTTATACCCCAAGAAAAGACCTTTAGTCATGTGACCCCCCGTCCCCCTCCTCACATCAAAAGTATGGCCTTTCATAGACGCTGGCAGGTGGGCCGCCTCCTGGGGGAGGGGGCATCGTAATGCTATGGCTTGGCGCAAGTCAAGGCTTCATATTCCGAGGCCCCTTCTTGAGCCTCAGAGGAGACCCAAGCTCTAATTAGAGAACAGTGGCTCCCCTGTTCCACACCCCTCACCTCAAAGGCCTGGTGCCCATGGATTATGGCTCGGGGTCGTCAGGGGAGCTGAGGGGATGAAAGTTTGATGAAAGCCATGCAGGCTTTCCCGTGAGAGAAAGGGCTGCTTTGTCTGGTCTAGTTCATAGTCCAGCAAGAGGCTCTGCAGTGGCTCTTCTTCGAAGTTCCTGGCCTCAAGCCTGGGAATTTGATGCCTCTTTCTTTTAGAAAAGGAGCCCTGGTGTTCAGTGGTTAAGCACTCAGCTGACAACCAAAAGGTTGGCAGTTTGAACTCACCAGCTGCTCTGTGGAAGAAAGATGAGGCAGTCTGCTTATGTAAAGATTTTCAGCTTTGGAAACCCTGTGGGGCAGTTCCACGCTGTCCTCTAGGGGCGCTGTGGGTCAGAATGGACTCCATGCAGTGGGTGTGGTTTGGGCTTTGCTTCTGTGAAGATTTACAGCTTTGGAAACCCTGTGGGGCAGTTCCACTCTGTCCTCTAGGGGCGCTGTGAGCCGGAATCAGCGCAATGGCAGTGGGTTTCCTTCAGGGGTTTTCTGCCCAAGCTGTGGGCAGGGAGAGGTGGGGCTTCAAAATCAGACATCCTAGCCTTCAGTGCCAACCCTGCAACTTAGCAGTGTGACCTGGTCCCTGTGCCATGTCCCTGGTCAGCCTTCACTCCCATGTCAGTTGAACCAGATGGTCCTACCAGGATGGCTGTGAGGGGGGAGGAAGTTGTGCAAAGTGCTTGGCACATAGTAGGGGTGTCTCTGGGTGGTACAAACAGTAATGCACTCAGCTGCTAACCAAAAGGTTGGAGGTTAGAATCCATCAAGAGGCAATGTGGAGGAAAGGCGTAGCTATCTATTTCTGAACCATCAGCCACTGGGGTCACCATGAGTCAGAGTCCACTCTACAAATGATTAAACTGTTAAATCGGGAGAGCATTACCTGAGAAATACTTCAAATAAGGAGTTGTCCTTGTACATTGGAGCTTTCGTTTCTAGATCATTATCATTCAGTCTTTCCTGTGCATGGAAGAATGAAGCTACATTGTCCCCTGTTCTTCTCCTCAGCAGGAAAGACACCTTATCTTTAAAGCTATTAAGTCAATGGGGATGTAGGACTCAATGTAGCAAAATCCATCCTTTCAGCATCTCAAGAGTACAGCTACTGGTCAATGTTAAGAATAAGAACCTACGAGGATGTATTGGTCCAAGGGATTTGACAGGCATTTGAGAAGGTTTGTTTTCTCCTTATCACCTGTAACAGAGTACCTCAACATCAGCACAGCTGACATATTGGGCAGGATAACTCTTTATCGTGTGTCCAAGGGGAGGAAGGCTGTCCCGTGCGTTATACGCAGTTTAACTGCGTCCCCAGCCTCTACCCCCAGATGCCAGTAGCACTGCAAGTGTGATGACCAAAATAGTCTCCAGACATTGCCAAACTGCTCTTCAGGGAGAACCACTGGCCTACAAAATTCTCAGAACCTTGGCCCTGCTCTTCTCCATTGGTTGATAGGGTGGCAGTGAAGTTTGTCACAAGAATTTAGACATAAGGGGACTTTAAAATTAGTGTGGTAGCTCCTGAGTTTTTCACTCACACCAACAGGGCAGGGCAGGTGCACATATGCAGGACAGGTAGACATAGACACACAGCCTCACCCCCCACAAAACTGCAGGTAAGGTGCACCTATACAGAACAGGCACACACACACATACACACACACAGGGTCAAGAAACACAGACACAATCCGTGTTCTCACCCTGCCCCTTCTTCCCCACCCTCTTGTCCATTCCCCACCCTCTTGTCCATCCCCTCCTCCTTGGGCATTGTGGACGGTCTTTTGGGCATGAAACAGACAGAAATGAGCCCACACCATTGCTACCAGGAAGAGTGCTGTTGAATGACATTAGCCATGGAACTGCAGGATCTCCTTCATCACTCAGGTACAGTAACCATTCCTCCTCTTTTATTGCATCAGTCAACCACATGTGACCACATGTGCACAGGTTAGCAGGAAATCCAGTACAGTGTCACACCTGAGGCCTCCGAAAGGCCCTAACCATTCACCAAAATCAGGGACTCTGCAGTTCCAGTGGGTCCAACCTCTAAAAGGACAGGTGATTGTGACTCCACCAGGCTCTGGTCCGGCCACTCTGGGGTCCCGTTTTGCTCATTTTGCAGTTGTTGTGATAGCTGTTGTGACCATAGAAAGCTGATCTCATATGATCCTTTGTGCATTTGTCCTTGCCTGCTAGGTGAGACTCCTGATGGTCACGCTCAGTCACGATTCCCAAGGATGGGGTGGTTGCATCCTGACCATCAAATAGTCCAGGTGTTGAGCCAGATCATCTGTCTGTTCCTCCCACTGCTGATAAGTTAGTCTTTGGAGGAACCTCAGAGGTCCTTTCCTGGCCACAGTCTTTAATTAATATCAACTTTATTTATCAGAGAAGTTCTAGTCAAATTAAGCCACACTGAATGAATGGGGTTGGTTTCTTGATTCCTATCCAGGTAGGAGACTCTATGGCCCTCAGCAGATTTTCCATGTCCTTCTCAAGTTTGAAAATTAGAGGGCCATCTGCAGGCTTCCGAATCCCATGACAATAGGCATTTATGAGCTTTATATTTGCCTAAATTTGAAGTTATCTCAAGTGTTGTAGAGATTACAAAAATCTTTCTATGTGTCACTAGCTAGGGAAGCAGCTGACTGCTTCTTTCCCCAAAGTTCACGTTCTATCTCTCCAAGTACCTTGTTATTCAAAGATGGTGCCAGGACACTCATGTGTCTTTCAATGGAGGGCAATTGCTTTCTACTTGGACCCCAATCAGAAAGTGACTCTTCTCACCAAAGGTAGAAATGGGTGGCCAGGCAGAGAACTTGGGAAAGAGAATAGGGCACAAGCACCAGCAAAGCCAGAGGAAGCTATGTGGTGACAATGAATGAAGGAGACTGTGTAGGGCCATTGAGGGGTGCAAATTTTGGCAGCAGTGCTCTATACAGACACTCAGCACTTAGAGGAAAGTCGGAGCCTGAAGGTAGTAAAGGATCTTGATGTAATAAAAGGGCCACCTCACTGGTGGTATGCAGTAAAGGGTTGACTCAGCAGGTGTATACATTCCAAAGAGAGTTCTGGCCCTTGATAAGCTCCTGGAAGAAAACCTCTAAAATCTTGGTATAACTTGCCTGGTAAAAGATCATTGTTTACCTTGGTCCTGGGGTCATGCCACAATAGTCTCTGCTAACAATGTCATTTATGGTGGGAGCCTTGGGCTATGTAGTTAGATCTCCGGAGAGGCTGGAGACTGAAAGTCAATCACATGAACACTCCATTCCCATGTGATCAACCCCTAATGAAAAACCTCAGGGCTCGGATGAGCTTCCTCATTTGACAACACTCCACACGTGTTGTTATGCATCACTGCAGGCAGAATTAATTGCTGTCCATAGAACTCCATGCAAAGGGACAAGTGAAAGCTCACACCTGGTCTCTCCTGAAGTCTGTCTTGTGTGCCTTTTACCTTTGCTAATTTTAATCTGTATCCTTTTCTGTAATACACTGTAACAGAGTATTACAGCTTTTCTGAATTCTGCAAATCATTCTAGAGAATCACTAAACCTGCAGGTGGTCTTGGGGACTCGTAACTACAGTGGCACAACAGAAGAGGAATTGAGACCACACCTCAACAAAACAGCTCCCTGAACCTCCTCCAGAGGAAACGTTGTCACTGTCTCCTACCAAGGGGCTTGGAAGATTATCTAGATCCTACCATATGGTGAGTCTCAGCTGTTGCATATAAGCAAGTTTTACCTTCAGTTCTACCTGCAATACCTTACACATTCACGAGAGAGAAAGAAATGTAATTTTAGAGAACAGTCCCTTTCAATCAAATGATGATCTAAGGGCGAGTTTTAAGGGATGTTGTCTGAATTCATTGTTATGTTGAAATGTGTTTTCAAGGTCTCATACAGACTTGCAGATATTCTCAAGGCATCTTTGCTTTAATGCTGGGGAGGAAAAGAGAAGGTGAGACATCAAGATAATGAGAAGGAAAAAGTACAGAGGCATAAATTAAAACCTGATAGTGTCAGAGTGGTCCAGGCTCTTCCAGAGGGCAAGTGTGGGACAGAGCATTGTCTGGGAGTCACTTAGAGTCAGTGTTAGAGAGTTGGAAGGACTTGTGCAAAACTCCCTTGCTGATTAACAGCAAAGTCACATTGGGAGCAGACTCTGATTTCTCCAGTCTCTGCCTGGGGCTCCCCACATCCCAAGTACCGAGCTGTATCTAATTCATCCTCCAGCTCCTGGAGAAGGACATCATGGTTGATAAAGTAGAGGGTCATCAATAAAGAGGAAGATCCTCAATGAGATGGACTGACACAGTGGCTACAACAATGGGCTCACGTGTAGCAATGACAGTGAGGATGGTGCAGGACCAGGCAGCATTCCATTCTGGTGTACCCAGTGTCACTATGAGTCAGAACCGACTTGATAACACCTAACGACAACAATTATAAGTGTTTGCAGGATTTCCTATTCCCTCCTCCACAAAATAAGGATTGCCTTCTTTGACTTCTGACTAAACCAAAACCAAACTCACTCTGTGAAGTCGGATCCGACTCATAGGGACCTGTCCTTGGGTTTCCCGGGCAGTACGGCTTTGAACCGCCGTATTCCTAATACTTGGCTTTTGTGATGCAGAATGAAATTGATTTAGAAAGAGAAGACTGGAGAAGGGGGATGATGGATTTACAAAGGGAAGAAGAGACTTGATTTGAGAAAGGAAAAATTAGAGGCAAAAGGAAAGCAAAAGAAGCAGAGGGGGTTGATGGAAACAAAGAGAAGAGCTTGCTGTTAGGAGAGCTGTTGAGTGACAAGTTGGAAAATAAAAGAGGATTTGAGATGGGCTTTGGGAAGTGAGGGTAACAAGAAAAGGAAGAAGCATTTCTTAAAACTGTCACTATGGATCACATCAGATCCCATTTGATGTTCTTTGAGAGCCACAAGGAAAGATTGGGTGGCTTAACTTAATGTGTAAGTGTTGTAATGCAAAAGATTGTCAAGACTGGGCCATGTGAGCACCAGTTTATATTTGGGTTACATTAAGAAAGAATTTTTCACATAGTTTAACATAGTTTTGTGAAAACTCTTTTTAGAAGATTAGATTCCCTTTACCAGATAGTCCAGGCTTATGGCACAATAAGAAGTTTAAACCATAGGAACGGTGGCCAGACAGCCCGTCATGGCCATGTTTGTTTGCAGGAATGGAGGAAAAAAACAAAGCAGATGTCCAGCCTCTCTGAGTTGGGGGTGGAGAGTAACTGGGGCTTTGAAGGACAAGTGAAGAGGTACCATATGATCTACTTGTAGCACTTCATGTTGCCTTCTTTTTCTTGAATTATTTTATATATTTTGTTTTGTTCAGGAATTTGAGTGTTCATATGGGGTTTTGCTTTTGTTTTATTTTGCTTTGTTTGTTTGTCTTATAAGCGTATGTGGAAACTCAGAGAAGTTATGATAACAACACTAGTAGTAGTTCTGGCAGACTCCTGCTTATAATTCTAATTAATTGCAAACAACAGACTGTCATGTGAAGGAATCAGAAATACCCTAGACCCACTTTGCCTGGAAATAATGATGACTACCTCACTCCAACTGGCTCCTATTCAAGCAGGAAAACCATTCAGAAGTATAGAATCCTTTTATATAGTGCATTCGTTTAAAAGGCACAACATAGCGGAGCTGTGTACTTACTGTGCGAGTGGGACACCCTTTTCATCCTCTGACAGATATATGTTGCATTCTTCAGAAACCAAGAATAGCGTTCTAGGCAGTACCTAGAGATGTAAAGCACGGTTGGGAGCAGTCACTATCCTGTGATGGCTCTGAGAAGACAGCCCAAATAGCAAAAGTAACTACATAAATAGGAACATATGGCCAATGGCGCACAGCAAAGGAGGCTCTCTTCGGAAACCTCTCCATCTTTAGAGGGGGTGGCAAGAGAGTAGGAAGGGGGCTTCCATTTGTGAGGGTACATAGCTTGGGGATTTAATTCCCTGCCTTTCTGCTCAGGAGACAAACTATTTGAATACGACTTTGTCTAACCAAGAGTCTTCTGGCAAAGGCACGCCCCGTTAATGTGGTGTGGTAGTAAGTTGTCTGTCAACTTGGCTGGGCCTGGTTTTGAGTTGTTGGGCAGCTGGATGTAGTTTTTCCCCCATGAGACTGGTAATCAACTCCATGGTGGAATCTACTGGAGTAGCTGAGTAGCTGCCTTAGGGATGTGGTCTGCTTCCAGTATATAAGAAGACAGCTGTGAGAAAGGTCTCCGAGTTTTTTGGCATGCTTGGATTCTATATGTAGCTGGGTCTTCATTCAGCAGCCTGCCATGTTCTCTGCCAATCTTGGGAGTGTTTAACTAGTAGCCTGCCATGTTGCTTGATCTTGGGACTTGTCAACCTTGGGTTTGTCAGTTCAGTAGCCACCAGCTGCCTGAATTAAGAGAAGCCTCCAGCTTCAGTGGGCAGGGAGCAAGAGGCAGAGCTGAAGCCCAAGGTCTAGCGAGCTTCATCTAGGCCCTAGAGTTGGCACTTTGAACTTGGACTTCTAGTCTCCTAAACTGTAAGACAATAAATCCCTGTTTGTTAAAGCCATACATTTGTGGTATTTTCTGTTAGAGCAGCACTAAAAAAACAAAAAAACAAACTCACTGCCATTGAGTTAGTACAACTCATAGCAACCCCTCCTTGGATTTCTGAGGTGGTATCTCTACAGAAGTAGATTGCCCAGTCTTCCTTCTGAGGAGTGGCTGGTGGGTTTGAACCACCAGCCTTCTGATTAGCAGTCAAATGCCTTAGGCACTACGCCACCAGAGCTCCCTAGAGAACCAAAACATATGGTAAGGCAAATGAAGATAATTGCCCATGATTATTACTTTATGCTAAATGGAGTCAAGTCATGTTACTAAAAAGAATATGTCCTTCTCACACAGATTGTTGTTGTTGTTAGTTAGTTAGTTGCCATTGGGTCATGTCCGACTCTTGGTGACCCCAGGTGTGCAGAGTAGAACTGCTCCTTTTGGAAGAAGATCACCAGGCTTTACTTCTAAGGCACCTATGAGTTGGTTTGAACTTCCAACCTTTTGGTCAATCCAGTGCTTTACACTCTATGCCCCCCAGGGACTCCTATCATATAGAACAGAGTGGGCACCTCTCATGCAGGAAAGCCTAGATGGCCTCAGAAGAAAATCATGTAATAAGGTGCATGTTGTGTTTGTCTTTAGGGCAGAGGTCAGTTGCAATGCTGTGGACAGAATGAGCCAGAACTGGAGTTGAAGCTTGCACGTTTCCCACCATCCTGGAATGGCTACACCCCTCTGTGGAGCCAGCAGAAGCCTGGGCAGAGGAAGAGGCATTGGCATCTGACTGAAGCCCAAGGCAGGAGAACTTGTAAGCCACCAGGAGGGTAAGGGACAGAGCTGTCATCCTGTAGGGAGGGACGGTGTGCCCCAAGGGTACCACTGGGAAACTTGCAAGGGAGAGGATTTGGTGAGAAAGATCACTTAGGGAATAAAAGCCTGTTTTTAAGGAACATCCCCTTAAGGCTTAGTCAGTAAGGTATTGTTCTACCAATACTTGAACCCCTTAGGGCTGAGAAAGAGTCAGGTGGCTAACAAAGCCTTAACTCCTAGTTACATTATCCTCCAACTGTGTCCTGCTGTGGAACACTTACCTGAATGTTCCAGTAAAGAGCTGCTTCATCTCCATCGGGGCCTAGTGTGCATTTATTTGGTCTGGGGAAGGTGGATAAGGTGGGAAATGGTGGTCTGTAGCCCCTGGTTCACCCAGTACGGGCCACTGGATAGAGAGCACTGCCAACCCACATATGACTACCCAACCTAGGGCACGTTGGGGCTCAATCCCCTGAAAAGAACGGAGGGCCCAACTTCAAGGACTCTATACACTTCACCTGTTCCGAACAGAGAAGGGAATGAAAAGCTTGGATAGTAGGGCTGGAAGTCTGTGGGAAGTCAAAGAGAACTGATTTGCAAGAGGAACCCAGGTTCTTGAAAGAGCCAGGTCATCCTGAGTAGGGATGTGTGCTAGACACTGTAGCCTATCATCTGCAGCCCTATCAACCCTCACAAAGATCCTAAGACGTTCCAGGTTGCCCATCAATAGTGGGTGTGGACAGCAGCAAGTGGCCCAAGTTACCTCATGGCCTCTGTCCTGACAGTCCTCCCCTGGCTTGTGCAGAGACACTGCTGGAAAAAGCGACACAGCTCCATCAGGCAAGGGTTGATCCTCGGGATGGCCAGGGGGAGAGGAACAGCTGTCATGGCCCCCTCCTTGAAGAGTGGCTGAGGACACCCTAGAAGATGTAACCCCAGACCAGACAGTTCAAGTCAGCAAGAGTTTAGCATCTCCTGTTTGTGAGGTGAGGTGCCAGGTGAATGCAGTCTCACCCCTGTTCCCAGGTAGCTCCGAGACAGGAAAACACATTGCTTGCTTCACCCCTGCCCAGGAATGCAGCTGTAAGGGTTCTGAGGGATAGCTGGGGAGAAAGTGGGGACCAAGGCCCTGCAGGAAATCAGAGACGCTTTCATTCAGGAGGAAGTATCAGACAAGGATCCACAATGATGAACAGGAATGCTTCAGGTGGAGGGTATCTCAGGTGTGAGGGATAGAGCATATGATGGGCAAGGTTTGCTGATGGGGAGATGGAGAGTAATTTGATGGTACAGAGGGTATCAAGTGTGTGTGTGTGCATTAATACATGTCTGTACACATGTGTGAGAGGTATGTGTATGTGCATGCACGTGTGTGCATGTGGTTATATGTGTGTGCATGTATGTGGGGTACAAGTACATGAATGCATATGTGTGTGCACACATGAGTGCATGGGTGCAAAGAGGAGAGGAGAGAGGCAGGCCAAAAGATGAGGCTGGCAAGAATCAGGCTCTCCACCTCCATAGGCTGGAGACAAATTAGGTATGTTTCAATTAGTCAGGTTGTCCATTGTGCTTAGGAGAAGGCTGCAAATGGTAAAAGAAGGGGCCAATGGTGATTTCTTTAACACTCTATCTCTTTGGGACGTCCTGAGGCTGGGACAGCTTCCTCTGGCTAAGCCTCTGTCTCCTTATATGAAAAATAAGGGGACCTATACTTGTCACATAGAGTCACTAGGAGGACTGAGATAATTTACACAGAGCCTATTGCATGGAGTACCTTAGGGAATGAAAGCCTGTTTATAATGTCAATACTGATGTTTGATTGTTTGACTTAAAGATGCCTGTTGAGCATCCAGGACATGCCAGGCACTGCTAAGAGGCAGTGAGGATAACACTGAATTAGGGGGAAAGGGGCTTCCTCTCACAGAGCTTACCTTTGAGTGATTGGAAGATTATTATATTAAGATATTAATAATAATATTCCAACAAAGAATTACTTACCATTGTCAAGAAAAATTATCCAAAACTTGGAAATAAGCAAAAAGGATTACTGGGTATCCAAGTGCAATAATGCTAGGTATCGTCCAGCAGACCATTGGGGGCTTACCCACTTATATAAGAGTGTGCACGCAGGTCTAGGTATCGTCCAGCAGGCCATCAGGGGGTGATTGCTTATATAGGGGCGTGCACCTTTAGTTGGCTTTTACTGATGAGGTGGCTAGAAAACATAATCTACCTTGTAGAATTATTGCAAAGAGCAAGTAAAAACAGACCTTGAACAGTGCCTGGCACATAGTAGGTGCTCAACAACCCTTCCTTGAAAAGATGAACGTAGATGCATGAGTGAGTCAAAGACTCTGTGGCATGATTTTTGTGGATGGACAGAATCATTTACTGGAAGATGCCAGAACAATTTATTTTTAAATTATATTTCTAGATGGATAGCAAGATGGGTAGATAGATGGATAGGTAGATGGATAGATAAACATGTAGATAGACAGAGACAGACAGAGACGGACAGACAACTACACACAGAGAGAGTTATATGGTCAACTTGTTTTCTGAAACTCGTCTGACCACCGCCCCCATCCATGCCATCAGTGTGTTTCTTTAAAACTCCTGGGGAAAAAACGAGACTTAATTTCCTTCGGTAGCATAATCCAGTCTTTGTGTCTGAAAGCTCCATTCACCATTCTCTGCAGGCTGAGGGTGGGACGGAGGCCAATCTTAGGTGATATGAAAAGGAGACTGTGCAGGCTGAGCAACTTAATAATGCCCTGTTGACATATGACTGGGTGCCCAGGGGATGTTCAGGAAACTGGTACAGAAGGGCATCCAGCAGTGGGAGGGACGTCACCAGCTTTGAAGAAATCACTTCTTACCCATTTCTCTCTTATAGAAACTGGCCGAACAGAAGAGAGGTGAGTGAGGCACGGGGAAGCTGGACCAAGGCAGCACAGACTACAGACACTCAAGGTCCTGGATCCATCAGGAGGCCTGCCAATCCGGTTACAGGTCAAGGGAGCAGTTTTCTCTAGATCCATGAGAACTAAGTGTACAGGGATGGGGAAGGCCAGGTGTCCTTTAAAACGGAACAAAAGTGCATCATACCTAGACAGCGGGGGTGGAATTCCAGAGAACTTCTTACCCTTTCCTCTCTCTGCTAACTGCCACACTTACTGGAACAGCCCTGTCCCTTTCCACAGAGCCCACCTCATAGCTCAATAAACTCTCACTCAGTAAACATCGACTGATTGAATTACACATTGCTCTGTAGTTGCAAATCACCTCCACACCCATTATCTTACTTAATACAAAACCCTGCGGAAAAGGAAAAAAAAAGAGAAAAGGCATTTTTAGTGCTCACCATAATGGCGATTATTCTCACTTTACAGCTGAGAAAATGAAATCCTGGAAGTTAGTACCTCAAGCCATCACACCAGTAAATAGTAGAGTTAGGATTGAATCCCAGCATCTGAGTCTAAATTTATCTAACACATGTCTTCATATTATCCTACACCGTCTATTTCAGAATAAACACGAGGGAAAATAGCGTGAGGGCATGGGTACTCACTTGAAACCTGGTGGAGTTCTAGGACCAGGGCTGACTCGTCCCCAGGGGTGAATGGCCACATGGCAGGGAAATCACCTGCAAGGGGCAAGAATGGCCTTTCCAAACGTGAAATAAAATGGCCTTGGGTTATACACAGGCCCAGAATCAGTAGACCTCAAGGATAAAAGGTTCCCCATCTGATTATTTCACTTTGTGTGGAGGGAAACTGGACCCAAGAAACCAACCAGCTGCTGTCGAGTCAGTTCTGAGTCATGACGAGCTCATGTGGTCAGAGTAGAACTGTGCCCCACGGGCTCTTCAATGGCTGCTTTTTTTTTTTTTTTTTAAGTATATAGATTGTGAGGCTTTTCTTCTGAGGCACTTCTGGGTAGACTCAGAGCTCCAAACTTTCTGTTAGCGGTCAACTATGTCAACCACTTGCACTGCCCAGGGACTCCAGCCAAGAAAGGGGAAGTGACATGTCCAAGATCACAGGGCAAGTCAGCAAGGCTTACACATCAGCTCTCCTTCCTCTTCACACCAACACAATGAAAATACGGTACCCAGTTTGCTCTGCCCACTGGCACCCATCCCACCATGTACCCCTCCAAGCTATATTTTCCTCTGGGTGGCATTGGCGTTTTTATTGCAGCAGCACATTCTCACCTGTCTGTGGATATTTGGGGGCTGGTGCCTTGGTTGGACTTGGAGTCTGGGTACCAGGGGTGTATGTTCCTGGGAGGAGATGAGACAGACGTGAGCCTACATCCCTTCATGGAGAGTCTGATGGGGAGAAGATGGCCTGGGCCAATGGTCCAGTCCTATTCACCCAGTGTTGATGGAACAGGAATCCTCAACGCCATTGAGAAATGAATACCAAATAGTCTACACAGGAGGCACTCACAGTACAGACAAGGAGATAGGCACATCCCATACACACATACATACACACACAACTGGGCTCACACTGTACTGTTTTTTTCTGACATTTAGAGCTCAACTCACTCTGTTAAAGCAATAATGTGCAGAAGGGTAGTTGAACTGTCCTGAGTGAATAACATTGTTCAATGGATAGTGAAACAGGGAAAAGGAGAAGGAATGGAGAAGTGGGCTTACATAAGAAAAAAAAAAGGTGGTAGGTCTATGTGAAGAGGGACCTGTCATTCATTCATTCATTCTGATGAGAAGAAAGGGGATGGGTAAAAGGAGGAGCCAGAGGGTTTGCTTAATAATTATTAATTACGTTGCTCACTTATTTTTAATTACTTTTTTTGTATGTAAACTTTAAAAAAATTACAAAAGGCTTAAAGCAGAGAATGCTAAATTTAATTTCAAATGGGGGGATGTGTGGGAGCCAGCGACCTCTCACCTGAGGTGGAGCTGGTCTGGGATGAGCCGCTTCTGGCTGTCACCATTGACCCCGCAGGAGTGTCTGCCTGGCGGCTTGTCATGCCCTCCTCAGCCTCTGGAGGCGACGTCAGCATCAAAGAAGCTGTTTCCCAGGGAGGCCTTCCAGGTGTTTTCTCACCGCTGATCTGAGGCAAGGGCAGGGGTCCTGTGGAATCCCCCCATGTGGTTCTGGCCACCCTCGTGGTAGCTGCGCATTCAAGATGACAGTCAACACGGCTCTGATGTGCTGGACCATATTGATTCCACATAAAATTGCTGAGACACTGAGATGGTATCAAGGGGCAAACACAATGTGCATGGGTACCCGTCAACCATCGAGGACTTAAATTTCACCCCGACTTGGAACAAATGCACTAGACTAAATCTTGTTTTCCAAACCACCAATTAAAAATACAAAAGACCAAAAACCCAACCCATTGCTATCAAGTTAATTCCAACACATGGTGTCTTCAGTGTTACTGAGTAGAATTGTGCTCCATCAAGTTTTCTTGGTGGTAATCTTTTACAGAAGCAGACTGCCAGGCTTCCTTCCACAGCACCAACATGTGGGTTTGAACTGTGCTGACTTTGAGATTAGCAGCTGAGTGTACACCATTTGTACCACCCCGGAATCTCCAGTTACTCCACCCCCCAAATCCCACAGATTCCCAGACAATCAGCTGGAGTGTGTGTTTGGGGGAACAGAGACTCCACCTTAAGGCTGAGAAATACATTGGTGATCATGAGGCAAGTGGAGAGACTGTGGGGTTAGAGGTGGGGAAACCTGGAGGTGGGTTCTGTCTCAGCCTCCTCCATGCTGTGGACTTTGGGACAAGTTACTCACCACTCTTAAGCTTCATCATTAAAATCATAATAACATCTGCCCCACCACACACAAAATTGTTGATTGATGAAAGCAAATCTTCCCTCTCGCTCTATTGAAACATTTTCTCTGTTATGTGTTCTCATCTGTTCATTCCCATGGTGGAAATTAAAATCCTCCCCCCCCCCATATTTTACAAAACTAATCCCATTGGAAGGTTTTAAAATCTGTTAAGTTAGCTTGCAAACAGTTGCCATTTATCATCTGTTTAGCTTTCTCATCCTGAACATGGTGTGTCTGTACATTCATTTAAATATTGTTTACTATTCTCATTAAAATTCTATAGTTTTTCTTATGTGAATCTAGCACTTTTCCTTTCAGGGTTATAGCTAGGTATTTTATGAGGTTTCTTGCCATTTGCAATCCCGTCTTTTTTTCATGCTTAGTGGCAAGCTTTCTAATTGTGTGTTTGTCATGCTTCCAGATACTGTACTAACATTTTGCAGTAAATCTAAGACTTTTCCCATTCATGAAGATGATTTGTTTTCCTCTCCACCCCCCACTCCACCCTTGTCTCCTTGCCTGCTTGACTCCTATCAGTTCTTACTTCTTCGGGGAAGTCTGGGTCTCCGGCCATGCTGGGCTGAGCATGACATTTGGCTTTTCAGTGACACCACCACTGTTCCTGTGCACAAGGAAGATGGGAAGAGAGCAGCCTCTTGGCATGTCACTGGTAACATCGTTCCCATTGGTGTCATGTCATTGACGTATTTCTCACACCATTCTCCTACTGCTACAAATTAACCTAATCTGCCACAAAATTTCCACTTCATTTCACCATTTGTGTGAATTTTCAGAGGGATATTGCTAAATGCTTTCATGAAATAAAAGTGACTTATCTCATAATCCACTATGATTATGTAAGATATTGGCACTGGAGAAGTTAGGTGAAGGTTACCCAGGAACTCTCTGTACTGTTGTTGCAACTCCTTGTGGGTCTTAAACTACTTCAAATTAAAAGTTATGAAAACAAATTTTAGCAGTGCATCATGTCTGGACATGTGCTGCTTTTGTTTGTTCTTGATCCGTACTGGCTCATACGGATCTCTTATTTAAGGCAACTGAGGCAGAAATGACTGCGGGGAGGGAGAGAAAATGGGGGATAAAGAGAGAGGCCTTCACGTATTTATGTAGACCCACCAGCCACTGCTCAGAAGGAAGACTGGGCAATCAACTTCCATAGAGATACCATCTCAAAAACTCAAGGAGGTGTCACCATGTGTCAGAATCGACTTGACAGCAGTGAGTTTGGTTTTATTTTGGTCTTGTACAGGGAGTACGGGAGCCCTGGTGGCACAGTGACTAAGTGCTTGGCTGTCAGAAAGTGTCAAAATTGCAGAAGTCGGCAGCTCAAACTTACCAGCTGCTCTGTGGGAGAAAGATGTGGCAGCCTGCTTCCACAACCACAACGAGCTCGTTTGTCAAAACCAGATTTACAACCCTGGAAACTATGGGGCGGTTCTACTCTGTCCTACAATTGCTACGAGTCAGAATCTTCTCCACGGCCACAGGTTTGGTTTGGTTTTGGGTCGAGGGAATAAAAAAAACAAATGCACTGCCATCAAGTCGGATCCAACTCACAGAGACCCCTCCTTGGGTTCTGAGGCAGTAGCAGTACAGAAGGAGATTGTCCAATCTTCCTTCTGAGGAGTGGCTGGTGGGTTTGAACCGCCAACCTTATAGTTACCAGTCAAATGCATTAGAGTTTAGGAGGCTCCAAAAAAAAAAAACCAAACTCACTACCGTCAAGTCAGATCCGACTCATAGTGACCCCTCCTTGGGTTTCAGCGGTGGTGTCACTATGGAAGTAGATTGCCCAATTTTCTTTGCAAAGAGTGGTTGGGGGGTTTGAACTGCCAGCCTTCTGGTTAGCAGTCAAATGCATTAGGCACTATGCTACCAGAGCTCCTTTTGGGAGGCTGAAAGTCCAAATTCAGAGCGCCGCCTCTAGGGCCTGGGTGAAGGCCCCTCAACCTTGGCCTCCAGCTCTGCCTATTATTCCAGGCCCACTGGAACTAGAGGTGTCTCCTAACTCAGGTAGCTGCTGACTGCTGAGGCTGAGGAACCCAAGGTCAGCAGGTCTCAAGATTGGCAGGCGGCACAGCAGGCCACTGTGATGAAGACTCGGCCAAATACTCGGCCAAGGATCCAAATGTGCCAAGATCTAGAGAGCTTTCTCAAAGCTTCTCCTTACATACCGGAATCAGGGCACACCTCAAAGGCAACTACTTGGCTGTGCACAGCAGATTCCACCACAGAGGTGATTATAATCTCATCACTGGGAATAACTACATCCAGCCTCCCAGCCACTCAAAACCGTGGGCCACTCAAGTTGACACACAACCTTAATGAACTACTCCAGAAACTTACCTGTGGTCATGGTATCCTCTCCCTCTGAAGGAATAGCTGCCTCTATCCAGGGAGAGGTCCTCAGAGCAGACACTCTGGTGCTCTGCTCCCGCTGTTGGGGGCTTGTACTTGGTACTCTTGACTGGCTCGTGGCTGTGGGCTTAGAAGTCACAGTCATCCCCCTGGTAGCTGCACAGATGGGGTAACAGTCAAGACCATTTTATGAGGCTTGACACTTTGGAATCATATAACTGTGGAGTCACTGACACTGAATAACCAGCACGCAAGGATTCAGTGAATGTTACAAATGGCGCAAAAAGCAGTCTTTCTCCTAAGTATAAATTAAATTAAAATTTCAAACTCCAAAAACACTATGTAAAGTAGAACTGTTGTACCCAAACATTTCAGATATTGGACCTATTTTCTGAACAGAACCTGAATCCCATCAGAGACCCTTCTCTCATTCCACAGCCCTGTGGGCATTCCACGAGAAGGGGTGGGGTTCCAACATCATTTTAGCAGTGGATTCATGGACAAACAGCAGGAGATGAGGCTAGGCTGGAAGATGGTGAACCGCATACTCCAGGCTGAGGGTTGGGCTTCTCTGCCACCAAGTGCCATGGGAACTGAGTGCCCCGGGAGAAAGATGTGGCGGCCTGCTCCTGTAGAGGGGCAGACTCAGAAGCCCTAGAGGGTAAGTTCTACTCTGCCCTATAGGGTCTCTATGAGTCAGCGTTGACTCGACAGCACTGGGTTTTTGGGTTTTGGCCATTGACTGAGATGTTCTGAGCAGTGAAGAGGCATAATCCAATTTGTATTTTAAGACTATCATTCTTGTGCAATGAATGGATATTTTAGAGAAATAAGAGAGTAGGATAATGAGGCTCGTTCAGAGGCTATTACAGTTGAAAGGTAGCTCTGAAGGCTCAAACTAAGACAACCACAGCAGGAGACAGTCACAGAGGACCAGCCAGATTCCAGAAATTCCATGCAGCTAAAAATGACAGTTAAGTGCTGGGGAATGAGGACTTAAAGTAGGTCATAAAATAATACTTGGTGACAGAGCAAACACAAAAGAATAGACAGGTGTTAGGGATGAGGGTGTCTAGGTAGATGGTATTGTACAATGACAATGCCTACAACAGGTTCAAATGCCTACATGAGCCACAGGACTCATGCAAGAAAAGAAAGAGAGTACAAGCAATAGGGGTGGTGAGGACTGGGGGACTATGGTGAACTAGAGCGAGGACCTTCCTAATGGAAGCAGCTGGTCCTCAGCTCTAGACTTGGTTTGGCTGTTGACTTTTGCTCTCTGTTATTGGTGTGTGACTTTGGTTTTTCTTTTTCATTTGTTTTTTTCTGTAATCTTTATGGAAGCAGAGCGTCAGGCCGTCCCTTCTGTTGTGGTGCTAGGCGAGTCTGAATTGCCAACCTTGTCATCACTAGCAAACATTTGTGCCACCCAGGCACCTTTCCAGTTGGTTGTTGCTCTGGGGTAGAGGTAGGTCCAGAGTTACCAGATTTACTTTTGCAAGAGAGCCAGAAATTTGAAACATTTTTTTTATGGTGAAATCCTCTGCCTTTTAATACCACACAGCTAAACAAAATACCTGTGGCCAGCATTGTACCATCAGTCTGCCAGGTGGGACCTGGGTCTGGATACTTGACGGTAAGAGTTTGGACAGGTAGGGGGAGAAAGCCAAATTTACTCACCCAGACCACCAGAGATGCTGCTGGTGAATGTGTAGTTGATAACAGGGAATTTCTCCGCCACGTCCCAGAAGTCAGAAAGGTCCCTTCCTGCACAAATCACACCAACGGGACAGAACCTTGGACTCCTCCTCTGAGTGTTGTGTTTGATTCCCAGCCCAGAGACTTTGTCAAGGAGCACAGGCGTCTCACCTGACTTTCCTGTCATCACGCAGATGAAGATGCAGTCGGTTCCATCGGTCTGACTCACTGCAAAACAAGGCAGCACCCACAGGGCTTAGAAAGAGCTGGGAAACCATGCCTGTGGGAAAGGAAAAGTAAGCTGGCAATCCCAGCTCGGGAGGCTAGTGGAGAATAAGGCTAACTTGGGAGTCTCAAGGCAGCCCTGATTTTCTGGGTTGTTGTTGTTGTTGTTTGTTTGGAAGAGAAGGGAGTTTCAATATAATGCAATGACTTCCAGGACTGCAACCTCAACTCTGCCACCTCCAGGTATGTGAGCATGAATGAACTGCTTGACCTCTCCAAGACTCAGTTTATCCATCTTTACAACAATGAACATTGAAATCCCTTATTGGTAATTCCCAAATTCCCAGACCTCTGGAAGATGAGAAATTTTATTTGAGTTTGGTACCAAAGCTCATTTGGTGGCAAAATTTGACTTGATCAAAGGAAGGCTATGTGTAATCTTTATTTATCCCACTTAATGTAAATAGTTAAGCATTTTGCTGAGTAAATATTTAATGTATGCATTTACACATATTCATATACATTTATAGGCATTGATACATGTAATATATATACCAAACAACAAAAAAAACCCACTATCATGGGGTCAGTTCTGACTCATAGCAACCCCCACTGGGTTTCCAAGGTGGTAAAGTTTACAGAAGTAGATTGGCTTATCTTCCTTCCATGGAGCAGCTGGTGGGTTTGAACCACTGACCTTCTCGTTAGTAGCCAAATGCCTTATTCACTACCCTACCAGAGCTCTATGTGCTTCCCAGAGCACATAGCCTTCCTTTGATCAAGTCAAATTTTGCCACCAAATGAGCTTTGCTCATATATATACATATGTATGTCTATACATATGTTAGTTGGTATATTACATATACACATATATTCATTCATATATATTATATATACATTTATATATATACATGTATATGCATATATATCATGTACATGTTTCTACATATACATGCGTGTGCATTTATGTAATTGTAGTTGCTGCATAGTGTACCACATCATCCTTCTGCTGAGACCATCTGTTGGGCATTTGACTAGATCTCTGCTTTTCAAAATGGAAAATGAGAAGTTACTTGAAGCCACAGGATAAATGGGGCCTATTTGTCGATTCTACTTCAAACATAGAATCAGCTCCACATGGAACTAAATCAATTCTGGCTTCAGCACAAGGCTTAAATCCTGAACACATTATTCAATCTCTCTGCACCTCAGTTTTCTCATCTTTGAAATGGGAGTACACCTATCCAACAGAAGTTCCTAGAGTCCCTGAGTTCTGAGTTTCAGATTCTTCTCTGAATTTTCTAGACCCCAGAAATAGTTCTAATTAGAAGATGGAGCATTGAGATACTGCTGTTTGAAACTGGGCAACGCGGATATCTAAATAAAGCTTATAGGAAGGTCCATGGCAGCCTGGCCCCTGGCAGGGATCAGGACAGGAGTGTAGTAGGATTAATTCTATCCCACATGGATGTCAAACCTCAAATTTGCCAAGCATTTTTGAGATAAACCAACCTGAGAGGATGGAAGTTGACTTAAAAATTTCTGTGAGGTAGCTGGTAGAATTCCCAATGATGTCCACCAGTAGGGCTGTGAAATCTGAAAGACAAATAGAGGTTTATATTTCTGATTCAGACACTTGGGGGGGGGCGGTGGAAAGGACATATGTTATATTGGGAGTTCTCAGAATAGATTGCACAGGTTTGATTTAGTTCAGTCTGTTGTTGTTGTTGTTGTTGTTGTTATGTGCCGTCGAGTCAAACCGGACTCATAGCGACCCCTCCTTGGGTTTCCGAGGCAGTATCACTACGGAAGTAGGATTGCCCAACCTTCCTTCCGAGGAGTGGCTGGTGGGTTTGAACCGCCAGCCATCTGGTTAGCAGGCAAGTGTCTTAGCCACTATACTACCAGAGCTCCCAGTTCAGTCTGTTAAGGGATATTAATAAGCATATAGTGAAATACTACCAATTCTAAAAAAAATAGTGAGTTTCAGTCAAGGGGAGACTTGTGGGTCCACTATTCAAATCCCCTCTCCGTTCCCACTACCCTGGTAGCATGGTGGCTAAGGCACTTGACTGCTAACCAGAAGGCTGGCGGTTCAAACCCACCAACCACTCCTCGGAAGGAAGATGGGGCAATCTACTTCCGTAGTTATACTGCCTTGGAAACCCAAGGAGGGGTTGCTATGAGTCAGGTCCAACTTGATGGCACATAACAACAACAACAATCATTATATCAAATATATTCTTTGTTTTGATAAAAATTTGTATTACTTAATTTACCACCAAGACTCATATATGAATAATTTCTAACTACCTTCAAATATAAATAAAAGGTAGGAAAAATATATATATTTTTTCCTATCTGATTGGCCATGATTTTAAGACTGTCTTTTGATATTCAATGCTGGCATGGATGTAGAAAAACATACATTGTTGATAAGATTATAAACTTCTTCAAGATTTCTAGAAGAAACTTTTAGCAACTTCAATCACCACAGAATCATTTTCCTCTCAGCCAACAATTCTATTTCTAGGGCTTTATTTTACAAAGATAATTGGTCAAGAACTACAAGTGATTATATACAGGTGTTCATCACAGTATAGTTTATAATCATAAAAATATCAGGAACAAGCTGAGTTTCCTTCAAGAGGAAACAAATAGATTATGAATCATTCTTTCAATGAATACTATGCACTCAAATGAAGGATGAGGCATATTTATATTCAGTGGAATGAAATGAATTTTAGAACATAGTGATTAGTCTTAGAAATGGATTATAAAACTTCATGTAAAACATGGTAGATACTGATGGGTGTCTCCTAATATCCGTTCTCTCCTCTTCCTTTAACAAGAGAACATCAAATTTGTTGGGCATACGGAGACTGAACATAAAGACTACAATTCCAAGTCTGCTTTGGAGGCGGATGTGGCCATCTGACTAATTTCTGGCTGACAGAACTTTAGAGGAAGCCACATGAGAGCATCTCAAGCTGTAAATTTAAAGGGAATGGCCATGACTTTCCATTTCTTTCTCCTCTTCTTCTGGCTAGAGTGTAGTTCTGGTGGCAAGCCTTCAACTTCAACCTTAATAGGAGAACAAGGGCAACATCTTATGGAAGGGAAGGCAGAACAAGCTAGAAGGAGCCTGGGCCTCTGAACCATTGGACCATCATGCTGTTGGGGACCACTGAGTAGATTCCAACTCATAAACCCATAGGATTTTCTAGGCTGTAACCCTTATGGAAGCAGGTCTCTATGTCTTTTCTGCAGAACCTCTGGGCCGGTTTGAACCACCAACTTTGCAGTAAACAGCCAAGCACTTAACTGCTTTGCCAACAGGGCTCCTTTATCCCAGCCCTGAAATGCTTAGCCACATTGTCACAGGTGAAAGCAGTTAACTTCTGTCTTTGTTGTGTGGTTAGGCACTTTCAAGCTGATTACGACTCACAGTGAACCCGTCCAGTGGCCACAGAAGATAGAGCTGGTAGTCTGCTTTACAGCCAACAAAACCCTATGGGCAGGGATGGATTATCCAATAAGCAAGATAAGCATGGGTTTACTTGTGCTTACTCACTAATCTGTAGTGCAGTTTCACATGTTTTCCACTACATTTGCTTACTGGATAATCTGTCCCTGTCAGGGATTGTAAATTTGAAAACAGACTCTGATTCTGTAGGAAGCTGCTGTGGAGTTAGGAGACAGACAGAGGCCAGCCATATCTGGAAGCAGAATTTTTGATGTGAAAAAATGTGAACTTGTTCACTGCAGGTTAATAAGTAAACGCAACCAAGCCCGTGCTTATCTTGTTTATTGGGTAATCCAGCACTGCTTGTGGGACAATTCGGCTCTGTCACAGTGTTGCTCTTAGTCTATCTTCTTTAAGCCATTGTATTTGGAGGTCACTTGCTACAGTAGCATGGAGTCTCTGGGTGGTACAGATGGTTAGAGGCTTGACTATTAATCTAAAGGTTAGTGGTTCAAAGCCACCCAGAGACATGTCAGAAGACAGGCCTGGCAATTTGCTTCTGAAAGGGCGCAGCACACAGGGGGTTGCCATGAGTTGGAGTTGACTTGATGGCAACTGTTTTTTTTTTTTTTATTTCAGGAGCCCTGGTAGCACAGTAGATAAAGCGTTCCACTGCTAACCAAAAGGTCAGATATTCAAATGTGCCAGCTGCCATGTAGCAGAAAGATATGGCAGTCTTCTTGGAAACCCTGTGAGGCAGTTTTAGCCTGTCCTATAGGGTCGTTATGAGTCACAATCAACTCAATAGCAGTGAGTTTGTTTTTTGGAGGTTTTGGAAGCGTAGCCTGTATTCTAACTAACACAGAGAATGGTTCATTACATGGACAGTAGGATGAGTAGAGAGGTGGGTCGATAGGTAGATTAGATAAGTGGGTCAGATTCAGGTGAGTCAGATGATAGATGGATTAGACACATCATCTTAGATGCTCTTCATCAAAATGTTAATGGTGATTCCCTCTGGACGCTGAGATATCGGGTATTTCAGGGTTCTTGGTGCTACCTGTCCATGTTGCATTGCATTTTGACATTACTAGATGTTATTTTTTAAATTAATGAAAAATAAGCTATATTCATTTTGATAAAAAAAAGAGAAGACTGTGCAAATACACTCTCAATGGAGGGCTATCTGTCAGAGTTGAGAATGTTCAAAAGAAAGTGTGCCAGGCCTGAAGATTATCCACAAGCATGTCTTCCTCAAAGGCTTTAACCAATGACACAATGTTGGTCTGAGTGGCCAGCCTCTCAGAGCAGCGATTTGAGCAGAACTCAACCCCAGACCCTTGGTTCCAGTCAAATCTGTGTTTTGTTATGAGAACAATACTGCACAAGCATTTCAGTACGTGCCTCTCTGTACCCAAATAGCTCTTTCTCTAGGCTGAAAACCAAGATGAGAACTTTCCAGGAGAATGGATGTGCATATGTTTGGTGCAATAGATAGTTTCTTATTTTACTTTGAGGAGAAACAAACAAACAAACTTTATCCAAAAGAGCAAAAGCAAAATCAGGCTCTGGTGAGCCCTACCCACCAGATAAGTCATTGGTCCGGTTGGTCAGACAGTAGCAGTATCTGGTGGGGAATCGGGCAGGGTCCATGGTCTTCAGGTTAGAAACTGTGAAGAGAAAGAGGCCACACAGCAGACCTGACCCAGTGGCAGGCCCTGCCTGCCCGCCACTGACTGCCATCCCCTCCAGGGTAAGCCAGGCAGCACTTACTGTTGTAAATGGCCACGGAGAACTTGTGGAAGGCGAAGGAGCTGTAGGAAGTAACACTGAGCAGGGAGAAGAACTGCTTGCTGTCTGCCAGAGGATATCGAGATAAACAAATCAACAAATGAACACGAACACAGTAATGAATCAACACTAACATAAGGAAACAAAGGATAAACATTAACAGAACAACAAACAAAAACAAATATCCAAGAATAAAATAATCAAAACAAATGATAATAAATAAAATAAAGCTAACAACGCAAACACGTCAGTTGGCCCTGTTGTCTGTTCTCTCCCTAAGTTCTGACCGCTAAGTCAGATTCCAAGGTGTATTCGTTTCTTGAGGCTGGCGTAACAAATCACTACAATCCGTTGTTTCTGTGTGCTGTCGAGTCATTTCTGACTCATAGCGACCCCATAGGACAGAGTAGAACTGCCCCTTAGAGTTTCCTAGGCTGCCATCTTTATGGAAGCAGATCAACAAGTCTTTCCTCCACGGAGCCACTGGGTGGGCTTGAACCACCAACCTTGTGGTTAGCTGTTGTTGTTGTTGTTATTTGACTCATAGCGACCCCTCCTTGGGTTTCCGAGGCAGTATCGCTACGGAAATAGGAATGCCCAACCTTACAGAAGGCTGGCGGTTCAAACCCACTAGCCACTCCTTGATACTGCCTCGGAAACCCAAGGAGGGGTCACTAGGAGTCACACTTGTGGTTAGCAGCCAGTGCTTAACCTTTGCTCTACCAGGCTCCTTACAACAAAGAGGTGGCTTAAAACAACAGAAACATATTCTCCCACAGTTGTGGGGTTACAAGTCAGGTCTAGCGGGGTCACACTCCCTCTGGAGGCTCTAGGGGAGATCTGTGCCTTGCCCCTGCCAGCTTCTGGGGCTGTTGGCATTCCTTGCCTTGTGGCCACACCTTCTCTTCTCCTTCACCTCACCTTCCCGGTGAGAGTCTCTCTTTGCTTCTATCCTAGATGTGATGGTATTTGGGGCCAACCAGGATAATCCCAGATAATGTGCCCATCTCAAGGTCCTTAACTTAGCACATCTGTTATCATATAAGACAATGTTCACTTTTTGTCCATATGAGGTGGTGTTCATGGGTCCCTGGAGCTAGGAAGTGAATATGTCTTTAAAAAGCCAGTTGCCATTGAGTTAGCTCCTGCTCATAGTAACCCCAGGTGTGTCAGAGTGGAACTGTGTTGATGGGGTTTTCAGTGACTGGTTTTTCAGAAGTACATCACAGGCCTCTTTATTCTGAAGTGCCTCTGGTTGGACTTGAACCTCCAGCCTTTTGGTTAGCAGCTGAGTGTGTTAACTGGATGCACCACCCAGGGACTCCCTAGTTAAGATTCCAAACCAAACCAAACTCATTGCCATCAAATTGATTCTGACTCATAGTGACCTCCATTGGGTTTCCAAGGCTGTAACTCTTTATGGAAGCCGACTGCCTCATCTCTCTTTTGCAGAGCAGCTGGTGGGTTCAAATCACTGATCTTTTTGGTTAGCGGCCAAATGCTTTAACCACTACACCACCAGAGCTGCTTTTAGTTAAGGTGACAAATACAAAATTTGAAATGTGTTTTGCTCCCCAAATGCTCTTAAGCTTCCTAGTGATTTTGATGTTTTTAATCTCATTGTGAGCTGTGTAGGAGAACACAGTCTCCACTCTGAACACAGAGAGACTGAGGCACAGAGGGGGGACACGCCCTGCCCAGGTACACAGGGACATCCAGAAGTGAAGCTGGCACAAGACAAAAATGGGCCTGGACTGTGCTGGGGAAGGAGGAGGAGGAGGAGGACCTCTTAAAGCTCTGTTCAGCATCCCATTCACCAGTTCCGTCAGGTTCAGTGCGGACAGATCCACCGACCGGGCAGCTAGCTCTGAAAGAGGTTCAGAGATGATGTCACTAGCAGGCTTCTCCTGGCGACAGGCACACTTCGTCACTTCCCAAGACACCTACTGAACACAAAGCAAGGGGTCAAAGGCAAGAGGTCGTTCCTGTCCTCCTGAAAGTCACAGTCAGTGACATGCACAGTGACAAGTTATAGTAGATGGGGAGGCCTGAGTGAAACATGAGGAACTCTCATTTGAGTGGATATTCGATCCCTGGAGAGAGCAGGGACTGGTGGGAAATGTCTCATATGTAATAGGAAACCCAAGGAAATTGCGGGAGTTCTCAGCAACTATGTATTTCAGAAGTAACTCCATGCTGTAATAAAACCAGTGTGGTCACCTCCAACTTATGCTGATCCTGCTCCAGAGGGTTCTCAATGCTGATTTTTCAGAAGAGGATTACCAGGCCTTTCTTCCAAGGTCCATAGACACATTCATTGTTTGCATCACCCAAGGAATCCTACACTCTCTAATATCAAACTAAAACCCAAACCCATGGGGGCTGGACATCGGTATCATGCAGAAAGATGTTTCTTTTTTTGACCCCATAATTCCAAGATTGGATTTTATTGCCCTGGGACGTAGCAGGTGTGTGTAGTGAGCAGCCAATCTGAGAGCCGCTGCTGTGTCGCAATCCCCTCCCCAATCCGTTTTGTGAAGGCTCGGAGACAACAGCTGACAAGGAGGAAATGTGGTTCACGATCCTCTTTCCGTTTCTACAGACATGAAGTTTTCTCCAACTTTTACTTAATATTCAGACAGTTGGGTGGAAGAAGCAGCCTGAAGACAAGAGAGCTGCTGCTATCCCTGCTGTGGAAGGGGAAGGGGGTCCCAGATTCAGGGGAGTGGCTAGCAGCCCAGGTACTTACCTGTGGTAGCAAGAAATGCCACCCCCTTGTCCCTCCTCTCTTCTCCTCTAGGACCAGCCACTGAGGAGGGAAAAAGTTTTATGAAAGGGATGTTAGCTTCCAGTGATAGCCCCATAGAGCTGGGGAAGCCTTACCTGAGCATAAGACTCTGTGGACCCAGGGCAGCAATGCAGATCCCAGGACCCCCTCCTGGAGAGGCTAATCTCTCCTGAATGGGCATGGCCTAGAAATCTGCTTTCTCATAACTACCCAAGGTGATTCCTTTAGCAGGGGTCGAATCCACCCCGCTCCTTTAGCCCAAAGAAACAACAACAACACTGCCACTGAGTCAGTTCTGACTGTGGCCACCCCGGGTGTGACAGAGCTGAAGTGTTATAGAGGGTTTCTTGTTTGGGGCTGTAATGTTTACAGAAGAAGATTGCCAGACCTTTCTTCTGTGGCACTAGTGGCTGGATTCAAACCACCAACCTTCAGTTTAGTAGACAAGTGCACACCATTTGCACCAGCCAGAGGCCAAGCCACACTCCATTATTGGGCTGAAAAGGCACAGCTCAGAGAGAAGCAGTTGTTCAAATTTGTACAACTGAACAGCACTAAGGATGGGGTCAGAATCCAGTTCGTACAATTGCAGATCTGGTGGTGTAGTGGTTAAAGGATTTAGCTGCTAAACAAAAGGTCAGTGGTTTGAACCCACCAGCTTCCCAGTGGGAGAAAGATTTACTGCCTTGGAAACTCCATGGGCAGTTCTACTCTGGCTTATAGAGACACAGTATGAGTCAGGGTCAACTTGATGGCAATGGGTTGGTTTTTTGGTTTGCCTGCTTGGAAAATTTCATGCTACCAAGGAAGAAAATTTTACAGGAAGGTGAAATCTCTATTATGGTGATGCTGGTCCGTAAGGGCCTTTGCACATCTGTTCATTCTGTGTCCTTTCAACACACAGTCACCCAGGGCCAGCAATACGCCACATGTAGACATGGATCCTCAGAAGAGGACGGGGTCTCTCTTCAAGGAACTTACTGTCTGTGTGTGTTTGTGTGTGTGTGTATGAGGGTGGGCTCAGGTGTAATTACCTGTGATGAGTATCAGTACAGGCAACAGCAGGGTGCCGAGAGCTCCTTTATCAGGGACCTAATCTGAACATGTTTGCTGCTGTTTCTTCTTGTTTTGAGTTATGTCACATCAGCAAATGAAGGTCCCATAAGCTTTACTCCATCCACATCATGGAGGCTCTGGTGGTATATAGCTCTGGTAAGTGCCTAAGGCATTTGACTGCTAACCAGAAAACCACCAGCCACTCCTTGGAAGGAAGACTGGGCAATCAACTTCTGCAGAAATACTGCCATGGAAACCCAAGGAGGAGTCACTATAAGTTGGATTCCACTGGACGGCAGTGAGTTTGGTTTCAGGTTTCTACTTTGAGGAGGCAGCTCTTCCCTAGTTGTAGTTTGAGTGCCTTCTAACCTGAGGGGCTCGTCTTACAGCATGAAAGCATGTTCTGCTGCTACCCATTGAGTTTTCATGATTTTTTTTTTTTTAAAAAAAAACAAATAGATGGCTAGGTCCTTCTTCCTAGCCTGCCTTAGTCTGAAAGCTCCACTGAAACCTATCAAACATGGATGCTAATATTTGAAATACTGGTGGCACAGCTCACTTTGTCTTGTTTACTTTGAACACGGTATCGAGAGGGCCCGATCCCTGGAGAAGGACATCATGCTTGATAAAAGAGGGCAAGCAAAAAAGGGGAAGAGATGGACTGACACAGTGGCTGCAACAATCAGTGCAAGCATACCTACTAGAGTGGGGATGGTGTGGGACCAGGCAACATTTTATACTGTTATCCATGGGGTTGCTGTGGGTCAGAACCGATTTGACAGCACCTAACAACAGCAACAACATGGACGTGAAGTTTAAGCTGAGACCAGCAGGATCAGTTATTTTGGACCAAAACCAAACCAAACTCACTGTCACTGAGTTGACTTTAACCCAGAGTGACCCCTATTGGGTTTCCAAGCCTGTAAATCTCTACAGAAGCACTGCTTCATCTTTCTTCCATGGAGTGGTTGGTGGGTTTCAACTGCTGACCTTTTGGTTTACAGCCAAATGTCTTAACCACTGCACCACCAGAGCTCCTTGGTTTTGGACCATACACCATGTAATCCTGTGGCATTTATTGCAGTATTGTAATAATTGTATCATTGTTGTGATGCTTAATTTTTTTAATGCTACATTCAGAAGGAAAGGGAGCTCTGGTGGCATAGTGCCTAAGGCATTTGACTGCTAACCAGAAGGCTGGCAGTTCAAACCCACCAGCCACTCCTTGGAAGGAAGGTTGGGCCATCTACTTCCATAGCGATATTGTCTCGGAAATCCAAGGGGGGTCACTATGAGTTGGGTCAGATGACTCAACAGCAGGTTTTCTTTTTCCACAGAAGGAAAAGCTACTTAATGTCCATTTTATAGTTGGAAAAACCAAGGCACAGAGAGACTTAGAACTGTTCTATGTTATAAGGTAAGCCAGGATGCAGGGCCGGCCTAGTTACCTGGTACAGCAAGGGAAGCTTCATCTCTGTCCTTCTTCACTCCTTTATTCCCAGACGCTGAAATCAAAGTTTTCAGAAGAGAAATAACCCCACAAAATTTACAATTGCCTTACAAGTCTTATCCAGCACCACCTTTGGAGGCTGAGGGACGGGAGGCCCAGAAACGGTATGAGAGGGATCTAATTCCCACATCTGGTTAGTGGTGAAGAGGAGGTGGAAGGCAGCACTCTCATCTGTCAGAATCTCTCCATGTTATTTCCCCCTACCTTTCAAGTACTCTGTTGGGACTTAGGTCAAATCAACTGTTGCCTGCTTAAGCCAGTTTGCCCTTCTACTAATTATCAGGTTCTATGTTAAATCTCAGAGCTTGGGGTTATGGAGTCTCTTTGTTCCACCCTGGCTGGGAAAAGGGAAGGCAGAGTTATAAGCAAAATAAATCTGAGACAAACCTTTGTTAGCAAGTAGGCCAAAAGCAGTCCACCAGTCAGTTTGCTAGCTTGGGGACAGTCCAGCTCTGACTGTCCAATGCCCTGTCAGGCACTGAGTGGCACTTGGCATGAATGGTCTCCTCTGAAGCAGATGCAAGGAGATCTGTGGGCTGCACCAGCCAGCCTTGCTTGCTACCTGGTCAGGCAACAGTCCGCAATAAAGGAGAGGGACTTGGGCCCATCTGGCCCCGGGTTTCCAGGACTGCAAGAAGGCACTCTAGGCTGCTGGACTTGCAGGATTCCTCTCCTTATTAAGCAAGAGCACTGAGCTCTGTGCCGTCTTCCTAGCTCAGTACTACCTTGAACACCACTGACTTCACCAAGGCAACGTTACTTCTCACATTTTTCTAATTAAAACCCTTCATGTGTTTTGATAACAATACTCAAGGTGCTAACTAAGCACCAGTGTGGGGACTTCTTAGTAGGATGTTACATGGGAGCCTTTTCCAAAATAAAATCGCTGGGCAGGTCACGTACAATCATTGTTCTATTTTTTGGATCAGAAGGTGGCAATAGGAGTGTCTATAAAGTAGAAGCTACTTGATACTTTTTCAGACTTGTCCATGCTTAGGAGTTCATCACATTTTACCTTCTATGGTTCTCTGTGGAGCCGGTACTGTAGGTCCCAGCTGAAGAGGAAAAAATTTGAGATTCTAATGGGAGAAATGGAGATTTAAAACCATCTTGCTTATATACAAGAAACTGGTACCATCAATGACCTCTGGGAAGGGAACTGGTTGGCTAGGGGAGAGCATGCGACCTGCATAGACCTGCTTGTACCTTTTGCATTTTGAACCATGTGAATGTATTGCCTATTTTTTTTTTAAATAAACTTTAAAGCATAAAGAATACAAAATTCCCAAAGCAAATGAGTCAGATTCCACTTATGTGAAATATTTAGAATAGAGGAGTATACACAGAGTTAAGGTTATTAGTAGCTCTAAGAGGTGGATGGGAGAGAAAGTGTAAGGAAGACTCAGGGCTTAGGAGTCACTGAGCTTCTCTTAAGGATGATGGGAAAATGTGGAGGTGGATAATGGTGATGGTTGTGCAACATGATGAACACAAGGTCACTGAATTGTCCATATGAAGAATGTTAAAGTGGTAAATGTTTTACAGGTATACTTGCCACACACACACACAATGTTCAACCCTAAACAAAAGTATAGAAATTAAAATCTGCCAAAAGCTTTTTTAAAAAAGACACACACAAACTATAAAAATAAATTTTGAAGAAGCATCTTGCTTTCTTACCAAAAAGTTAGGAACAGAAATAGGCCTGACCCTCTGTGCCCTTTCTGTTTTACCACATTTACCATCTTCCTGCACAGCCATCATCCCATCCAACAAGAGAAGACCACAAAAGCTGAAATTACTGTGAAGGTAATGATGGCAGATAACAATCCCTCCCATTTTTAACATCTTCTCCCACCGAAGCACAGTCATGGTCTTCGTGGACTGAATAGAATCGTGAAAATCCAAGTGCCCCATGAACCAATGGGAAACTGGAGGAGCTCTTTGTGGCTGTTCCGTCTTTCGACACTCTCAGAACATGGGTCCAATCTCCCTTTCATGCACACAAGTCAGACGTGAAGCCAACAGATTTGTCCAAGAACACAGTGAACTGAGGAGGAGAACCTGCCTGTTTACTTGGTGTAGATAAGCTCATCTCCTTTTCTATCTTGGTTTGTCCTTCGAGACCACACACAAAGGTAAAAAATATTTCTTCATACTTATAACATCAGAGAGATTGTAAGGCAACATCGCCATTTTACACATGAGAAGATTGTGGCTGGAATGGTGAAGTGACTTGTTCAAAATCCCCTATCTGGTTTGTTTGTTCATTCATACAATCTCTTAGTCACTAGGCATATACTGATGACCTAGAATAATATTAATGATTGAAAATATTTTAAGCACTTAGTGTTTTCTGGATATTCTGTGTGTTGGATTCCTTGGATTATCATGATGAATAAAGACATTCAGACCTGTCCTGATGGAGTTTACAGTCTGGTTGGGGAAGCAGACATGAAGGAAATGAAAGAGCAAGTATATAATTACAACAAATGTGGGATATTTTGAAGGGAACTTTGAGAATGTGAAATAGGGAATCTGATCTAGTCTCAGGATCTGAAAGCCTTTCTGGGAAGTGATACTGAGCTGAGATCTGAAGAAGAAATAGTATTTGAATGGGATGTAATGGACTGAGGAGTATTTGATATATAGGAAATAGCATGTGCTCAGGGTCTGAAATGGGTGTGTGGACTGGAGCAGTCGGTAGGGTCATGTTGACCATGGGAAGGGCTTGGGATACTATTCAAAGATAAGGAGGAAGTCATTGATTAATATTGAAGGAGAGGAAGGGAATGAAAGGTGAGCTTGAAAGGGGAGATTTATGGAATCCCTCGGGTTGATGAGTGGAAGATGGGTTGTGGGGAGACAAGAGAAGAAGCAGGGAACTGATTTAGAAAGTTCAAAGAAAGAGGATATGATGGTCTGGACAAAGGTGGTGGCAGTGGAGGTGGAGGGAATTCTGTCACATAAATGGGTCTCAAACCCAAAAAGTCAAGGATCAAAACTAGAAGTGGGAGAGAAGACACTTCCATCATTTTGATCAAACTCATTTAGGATTCTTGCCTGAAACGGTGGCTGCTGAGAGTCTCGAAAGTACAATGAAAACCCACATTTCACATACAGCACAGACAATTCTTAAACTACAACCAGACCCACCTGCGCTCCAAAGGGACAGGAGACACGCAAGCCCCAAACACAGCCTCACCGGAGGACCATGTAGCAGAAAGTTCAACATGTTTGTGAAACTCTGGCCCACCTGGAAAAAAGCAACACATGCTTTGAGGTAATGGGCTAGATAACTAATCACATTGATGCAGGAGAAACTTAGAGAACGGTGCACAGGGAATCGTTAGAATTACGGTCTGAGAAAGGGGTTGCACTAGTTAGGATGCGGTAGGTTGTGGTGAAGTTAACAAATTAACCTCACAATCTCATTGGCTTACTACAACAATCATTGATTTCTTATTCATAGTATATATTCACTGCAAATGATGGGGGACTCTGTGCCACACAGTCACTTGAGGTCTGGTCAATGGAGGTGCCATTATCTTGTAGTTCTACCACCTGATACCTGTGGCCTCTTTATCCTTGTGCTTGTGGGACGGAGAGGGCTGAAAGATTTATTACCGATTCTTAAATGTTTCTGCAGGGTATGACACTCTCCCTTTTACTTATATCCCACTGGCTAGAATTATACTTGTGATCATTAATGTTGAAAAGAAACAGAATTGATTATTTCAAAACATCTTGCAGGTAAAGGGGTTAGATATCCAGTCACACTCCAAGAAGAAGGACCAAGAAGGACTATTGTTACCAAGAAGGACCAAGAAGGACTATTGTTATCCAGGAACCAAGAATCTGCCCAAGAGTCTTGTGAAATTCACATGTCTGTGTTCTATAGGTGACAGCCTTGGAGATGGGAATGTGAATGGTAAGAACTAAGCTGCTGGTGCCCTAATTAAACATTGCATACCTTCCAGTTAGCAAGCCTTGCAAATGAACCCAGGTGAGTTAAACAGGCAAACCTGCCTTACTCACTGCTCTTTGCAGCTGAATAGATGCTAATCAGATACAGAATAATTTCAGCACTCAGTGGAGAGGTGAAAACTCACAGAGAAGTTCACCCCATACGTGCCAGCCTCAGTGACTGCTAGTTGTTTGCAATATGTTGTTATGGTCCATTCACCAGCAGTCTTCCACGCATCAGCTTTCTCTTCCTATTGATGACCCAGGGGCTTGGAGATGCCAGACAATTTGCTGTAGGTTCTTAAGCTAGTAAGTAATATCCCTAGACTTCAAACTCAGGTAGCAGCTCCAAAGCCTGTGTCCTTTACAACCATATCCTGTGACATACCCTTGAAGGTGGAGTTTTGATAAAACATGTAGTGAAGAGTCTAGTGCTTGGCTCAAGGGAACCACTTCAAGAGCCAGGACTGGTAGCCTTGTCTTTTTGCTTCCAAAGCCACTGACTAGGAAATCATAACTGTTGCACTGTAAGCTCCTTGATAACCATTTTTGAGGGCACTCTTATGATCAACCCTCATTCCACTTCTTTGGATTCAAGATCACATTTCCTCTATCACAAATGTGAAGACAAATCCTCCTCCCAGCTCATGACCGCACAAAGATTCCAATCAATAGCTTAAAGGTAAAAAAATGCAAGAACTAGACTCTGGTAAATGGATGGCATGCTAGCTTAAGTGCAATGTGCGTGGTAGATGATAGAAGGCCTCTTCTATCACTCACCTTCCAGGAGCCCAGAGCTTAGGAATTACAGTACATGCATTTCTTAGTTGGCTTGATGCTTCGGGGAGGAGGGGGTGGGATCCAAAGACAGTTTAAAATATCTATAGTATAAAACTTACCTGTTTCCTGAGCAGGAAAAATGGCTTCAAAGAACTTAGACAGTCAGAAAGATCAACAGTTAGGTCAGAGCCTTGGGTTTATATGAGTTCTTAGTGAAAGATACAGAGAGAAGTGGGGAGAGGCTTGATAACTTTCCTTTAAATCCTTGGGGGGAAGACAAAAGGAATAATAATCCTACCCAAAACTCAGGGTGGTGAAACAGGATCAAGCCCATCTGAGAAAAATGCCTGTGCTATGGACTGAAGGGACTCCGGGAGCAGAACGACAATGCAGCGATTCAGCATGGCATGGAAAGCTCTCCTGGCAGTAATTACGGGCATTGAAAAGGCAGAGCAGGAGCACAGGTGATGACTCCCCACTTCCTGTTGTGAAGGCCCGTGAGCCAAGCATCACCTGGTGTGCAGCCGCTCCTGAATCATCCTTACGATCGTCAGCGTGTTCAAGGCCGTCAACGCTGCTATTGTGCCAGCGTAACTCACCGCGCGGCTCCCGAACCCTCACTGCCCTTCACTTCACTGTAGCTTTCTTCCGGAGAAACGCCTAGGGACTGCTGGGTAGGAAAATCCTCCTTGATACCTGTTTTACACAGCTTGTGAGCCAAGGCAAGGTTTTACACAGCTTGTGAGACAAGGTTTACATGATTAAAAAGTTTGAAAGAATTAAAAGAAAATACTATTTTGTGGCATCTGAAAATTGTTATTGTTGTAGGTAAGTGTCACTCAGTCAGTTGCAACTTATAACGACCCAATGTACAACAGAACGAAACACTGTCTGGTCCTCACCATCTTCCATAATGATTGTTATGTTTGAGCTCACTGTCGTAGCCACTGCATCAGTCTATCTTGCTGAAGGTCTTCTTCTTTTGAGCTACCCTCTATTTTACCAGAAAGGGTGTCCTCCTCCAGGTACTGGCCTGTCCTGATAACATGTCCACAGCAGATGAGGCAGAGTCTTACCATCCTTGCATTCTGGCTGTTCTTCCAAGGTAGATTTTTTTGTTCTTCTGGCAGTCCATGGTATATTCAATATTCTTTGCTAACACCATAATTCTAGATTGCTCAGTCTTCCTTCCAAGGAGTGGCTGGTGAGTTTGAACCACCAGCCTTGTGGTTAGCAGACAAATGTGTTAGGCACTATGCTACCAGAGCTCCTAACACTATAATTCAAATGCATCAATTCTTCTTCAGTCTTCCTTATTCACTGTCCAGCTTTTGCATGTATATTAGACAATTGAAAATACTATGGCTTGGTCAGGCATACCTTAGTCCTCAAACTGACATCTTTGTTTGTTTGTTTGTTTTAACAAAAATAAGTTATCAAGCCTCTCCCCACTTCTCTCTGTATCTTTAAAGAGAAAGAGGTCTTTTGCAGCAGATTTACCCAGTGCAATATGGCATTTGATGTCTTGACTGCTGTTTACATGAGTATTGATTGTGGACCCAAGTAAAATGAAATCCTTGACAAGGTTAATATTTTTTCCATTTATCGTGATTTTGCTCATTGGTCTGATTGTGAGGATGTTTGTTTTCTTTTTACTGAGGTGCAATCCATACTGAAGTGTATGGTCTTTGATCTTCATTAGTAAGTGCTTCAAGCCCTCTTCATTTTCAGCAAAGAAGGTTGTATCATCTGCATATTGCAGGTTTTTAATGAATCTTTTTCCAATCCTGATCCTGCATTTGTATTTATATAGTTTAGCATCTTGGATTGCTTGCTCAGCATGCAGATTGAATTGTTGTTGTTGTTGTTAAGTGCTGTCGAGTCATTTCCGACTCATAGCGACTCCATGCACAGCAGAACGAAACACTGCCTGATCCTGCGCCAGCCCCACAATCCCTGCTATACTCGAGCCCATCATCGCAGCCACTGTATCAATCCATCTCCCTGAAGGCCTCCCCCTCTTTC